GCCATCAAGTTGATTCCAACCTATGGCAACTCATTCTAGAGCTTTCTAGAGGTAGTCAGAAGTGGTTTACCATTCCCTTCTTCTGGGAGTGCCTAGCGTGCCACAGATCACAGGGGTTGGTACTCATCACTTTAGCCATGCACTATTTTCATATTCTGCTTTTAGTTTCCATGGCATCTGAAAGTTCTGTTTGTAGCCACATTACCCTGTGGTCATGGAAAGGTAACTGTGCAAGCAATGTGACCTGTTTCCCGGCTCGTCTTCGTCTTCCCGATTGCACAATATCATGTGCCAAGCACGGGACAGACGACACAAAAAATGGAAGATCTTTGCCCTTATATGGACAGAACAGCATAGCATCATGCTGGTCTACACTGGCCTCTGCGTTCCTGATAAAACAGGACATAATTACAATGCGTTTTTCACATGCCATAAAATAGATGGTAAAACAGATGAATAAATAGCATTCCTTCACAAAAACGTTTTGGAAGACATCTTAGTTCTAGAGATCAGAGTCTAAATTACACGGCGAATCATCTGGCGCGGAAAAAAAACAAGGTGCTTCGTAGCCGCCTGGACCGAAGATCCCGCTCCTCGACGAAAGGGGCGCCCCAACGACGCCACCGCGTCGGCCTCTGAGGCAAAGCACCTCGGAGTCACGCGACAAACTAGCGCATAGGCGTCACGTGCCCGCCCCGCTCTCCTTCCCCCTCAGCCAATCACCTTTCCGTTGCCATAGCAGATACGGGCGACCCTAAACCGAGAGCGTTATAGAATCAAACAGGCGCGGGAGGGCGGTTCAATTTGGACTCGCCTCGGCTTCGGGAAGGGGAGGGGCACGAGAGGCAGTCATGTGCCGGTGATAATTGGGGGGCAAAATTCCTTTTATTTGGTCAATAACTTCCGCTAACATACAGTGGGAAAGGCTTAGCTTGTCAGAACCCCAAGTGTTTGCCGTAAAAGAGCATAGGGTAGGCTAGCTTTTCTCTTCTCCCCACCCACCCCCAGTCTTTATGCTGCGCTCGTTTTGTGGCATCAATTGTGTAAATACCCGAGGAAAAGGGGTCTTTAAGGGCCGAAAGAAGGGGGTGGCGAAATTCCGCCCAACCCCACCGGTGCTTCTGCTGTGTTTCAAGGCGACGCCCCTTCTCCCGCCCCGGTGCAATCCCGCACCGCTCTCAGGTCGGAGTCCTTCTCCTTGGAACTCCGCGGCACCTCTTGAGTCAACGGGTTGGATTACACGGTTGGGGTGACGTCAGAAACCGCCCGCCGCTCGAGCCACGCGCAGCCCGCGTCCTGACAGAAGAGGAGACCGGCTGGAATAGCCTTGTGTCCCGCCCATGGGCGGGGAGGAGGGCGGGGCGTTCCCACCTCCGGCAAGGAGAGGGAGGAGCTTGTGGCCCGCGAACCCTTGAAGTCACGTGCCATTGGAAGCCTGGTTGCCGATTGGATAACTCACTTTCCGGTTCAGCTCCATCGTCGGCGTCGGTCAAAAGGCGAAGAGCCATCGAGACACACCGGCAGTTTCAGGACAGGCTGGGGGAACCACGAGCCTCGTGCCCCGCCCATGGGCGGGGAGGAGGGCGGGGCGTTCCCACCTCCGGCAAGGAGAGGGAGGAGCTTGCGGCGAGAGCCTCCGCGCGGGCGCCGGAAACCCTTGAAGTCACGTGTCACTGGAAGCCTGGTTGCCGATTGGATAACTCACTTTCCGGTTCAGCTGCATCGGCGACGTTGGTCAAAGGGCGAAGAGCCATCGAGACAGGCCGGCAGTTTGAGGAGAGGCCGAGGAGCATTTGCTCGGGCGGGAGTCGCCGCTTGGGCATCTTCCGTCGGCGATGCTGGCGAGATAGAGAAATCAAACCTGAAAACGTCATGGATCGTAGCTGAGAGCTGCACGTGCTTGACGTCCCAACGGTTTGAACAAAACTGGCACCTTATCGCGGGAAGCAGCCTAAATTATAAACCCAGAAAGAAGCTCAGGGAGGTTTGCATAAAAACAGAAGAATGCGAGACACGAAGCAACTTTTTCTTGTTTAAGAAACCTGCATCTTCTTTCTCAAAAGAGGGGGAAAGGAACGGATGCAGGATTTCGGTGTCTTTGTTTGTTTGTTTAAAATATTTTTACCGTGCCTTTCTCCTTGAAGGGAGCCAAGGCTTATATTATGGAAAGCTAAAAATAATAAGTATATAAATAACTAAAAAGAAATAAACAAGTATATTAAAAATGGTAAAGAAAATCAATAGTAAAAACACATTTAAAAACAACAGAGCACAACAATCTATTTAAAGAAAAACCCTCTCAGACTTCCAGTCCCTAAGGGAAAGTCTGCCTGAAGAAAAAGGTCTGCCTGCTTCCAGAAGGATGGCAAAGAAGGAGCCAGTGTGGCCTCCTGTGGGAGGCAGTTCCAGAGTCTGGAAACAGCAACCTAAAAGGCCTGTGTCCCTACCAAGTGCGTCTCTGTGGATTGTGAGACAGAAAGCCCCCCCCCCTCGCAAAAATATGTCTGGGAAATTAGGTCTTTCGTTGGAGCTGAGCCACTTGGGACTTTATAGGTTAAAACGAGCACTTTGAATTGTGCCAGGAAACAGATCGGCCCAGTTAACAATCTGGCTGTGGCATTTTGGACCCACTGGAGTTACCATTTGAAGCCTGATTTCTTAAAAAAATCCATCAGACTTAACCTACCAAAAGAACACTAAAACATATGGAAGCTTTTTAAATCTTGTACACATTTTGTACCCTTTTGTTCAGCTCAGTATAACATTGATTTTGGATTTTCCCTTAGGCCTAATATGATAAATTTGGCTGGTTTGGATAGCCTGTCCTGGCTTGAGAAGTGAGAGGTAATGTGAGATTCCAAAATAATTGCTACTAGTAAGTGTTTGTGAAACATCTTTTCTGTCTGTTTTTTTTAAATATGCTCGCCCTGTCCTTATGCAACTCCCAATTACTGTGGAAAGAGGCAAGAGAAGTTGGCAGGCCCAATGGTGGGATATGAGATTCCAGGTGTGGCACAGAAACATGAAGGGTGGGAGGAAAAAGAAAAGGGCAAGGCAAGGGCAATGGAAAGGAGGAGAGCAGGCTGCAGCCTCCAGGAACTCTGATGACACCCTTGCAGCCTACTGCCTTGGAAGATACACTAACAACTACAGTAAAGAGTCTCCCCCTCCCCCACATGACATCGTTGAAAATTATATGTCATCAAATTGATTCAAAATTATGCCGACTCCTTCAAGGTTATTCCAGGTAAAGAGTACTCAAAAGTGATTCACTTCTGGAAGCGCACTAGAAATGGGTAGCTTGCCTAAGGCACAGAGGCTGGCTGTCATTGTGCTATCCAGCCAACACCTCGTTAAGTAAGACAGGCCGAAACAGAAGAAATGCATCTACAATAAGTGCACACCTTAGTGCTGAAAAGTGGGGGAAGCACATTTCTAAGCTTAACCTTTGGAAAGCCAAGTGTTAAGAGGGGGTGCTGACAAGTATTGAGCCTTACCCAGAAAAAATTGAGCTACAAAGCTGTAACTGCCACGCTATTCTATATATTCACCCAGGAAGTCAATGCACTTGCAACATCTGTCCTGCAGATTCTTAAGTCTCTGCAAATAATTCTTTCAACTGCTGCTGTAACCACTCATTTGAAGCATTAGTTGCCTCCAGAACATTCCCAAATCATTATCCCTTGAGGTGCTTTTTTGAGTTTGGGGAACATATAATAGTCAGAAGGAGCCAGAGCAGGAGAATCGGGTGGATGGGGCATCACTTGAAAGCCTAAGGACGTCAGTTTTGTCATTGTTTCACCTGCAGTGTGTGATGAGGTGTTATGCAACAGGATGATACCTTTGGGGAGCTTTCCTTGATGTTTTTCCTTGATGTTTTGCCTCAACTTCGTCAATAAAGCACAGTAATATTTTACATTGATGGTTGAACCCTGTTGGAGGTAGTCCACCAGCAGAACTCATTTCTTGTAACAAAAAACTGTTGTCATTTGCTTCTGCACCGACTGTTGCACTCAGAACTTCTTTGGCCTGGAGGAACCACTGTGCCTCCATTCCTTAGACTGTTCCTTTGTCGCAGAATCATAACAGTAGATCCATGTCTCATCACCAGTTACCAGTTTGCCCAAGAAATGTGACTCATTTCTTGCAAAATGTTCCAAAACAGCCACCGATGACTCCACACGTTTCCTCTTTTGTTTGGATGTCAAAAGTTTGAGGATCCACTTTGCTGCCAGCTTTCTCATTTCCAAGTCATTGTGGATAATGGCACCAACTCTCTTACGTGATATTCTCAGATATGTAGGAATACTTTTGGCTGATATTCGGCAGGCCTCCATGATCATGTCATGGATGGCTTTCACATTTGCAGACACAAGAGACAGAAACAGGCCTTCCACTGGGTTTCTCACTCTCATCACTGAAATGGCCAATTTTAAAATTGACAACCCAACATTTAACTGTTGCATATGAAGAGCCACTGTCACCCATAGTTTGTGACATTTCATCATGGATCTGTTTTGCACCTTTCCCTTGGAGAAACAGGAACTTGATTAAGGTCCTATGCTCTTCCACATTGAACTTTTCTGGAGGTGCTGCTATGTTCACTTTGGACCGGAAAATGAAAGATAAGTTAAAATCATAGGTAGTTGATTTTTACACCATTGAATACAGACAAATTGGCCAACACACCCTGCAATTTACTGCTTTCTAGCTCAAATTTTTTTTTCTGGGCAAGGCTCAATACTTGTCAGCACCCCCTGTAGTTATTTCCTTAAAGCCAAATCAGGGCACTCCTATGCACGGCGTTTTAGGATTAAACCCCACTGAACTCGACAGCATTTACTCACTGGCAAATGAGAAGAATATTACAGACCGATTAAGAACTTGAACAACAACAGTTAGGGCGATGTTTTCCTACCAGTATTGCCCCGCATATGGCGGATGCGACTCAAGCCCCCGGACGTGACGTGAGCATTGGCTTTTCCCCGCGCCTCTTTGAGAACAAGACAGACTTCCTCCTTCCGTCGCCATAATGCGATCAGAGCTGCCCTTCTTCCTGCTCGCCGGGAGACGGGGCCAAGGGAGTCGGCTCTCCGCAGTCTGAGCTTATTTTCGTTACTTCGACAGATTCCCTGAAAGGTGCTTTTTTTTAAAAGAAAAACTTTTTTTATTTTTGGCTAAGTTGTGTTCCGGGCGTGTGAGGAGCGCCACAGCGGCATTGCCCGATTTCCCTCCCCTCCACCCCCACCCCGCTAACCTGGGCTTTGCCAGACGCAAGTCCCTCGGGGGGCTTCTTGCTTCGGAAGGTGGTTAAAAAGTCAGAGTCGCGAGTGGCCAGAGATCGAGGCACTCCCCGCCCGGGCGACGAGGTACGGCTTGCCTCCCTTGAGGGGAAAAAAGTGATCCGAAGGACTGTGGGAAGCTGGTGCGGTCTCCTGAATGTCTGTACGCGCGCGCGTTTGCGTGTTTCGAAGAGAGGGTTTTCTTCTCTGTCGTTCTTGACTCTGTTTTGGAGGGGTGGAAGGAGTGAAGACAGACAGAAACAGTCACGCGTCCAAAGGACCTGCCTTTTCCGCTCCCCCCCCCCATTTCAAAGGTTCCCAAGTTGCCTTTGTGTGACACCTTAAAAATTGCTTTAGTGGCGCTAATGAAGGGCTGAAGAGGTCTAAAGCATTTTAAAACTAAGCTAGCAGCCTAACCAGAGGAAGTCCAGAACTCAGATTTCATTAGATTGGTCAAAACTGATTCATCACTCACAAAAATCAAAGGTGTGGGTATGGTCTTGAAAGGAACTTCCTTACTACAGAGACGTGTTGCTACTTGACAGGAAGGACATGATGCTTTCCCTTCTGCCCTTCCACAGAAAGAACCCACCTGGAGGCTCCATATGAGGGCAGCAGGGCCACCAGGAGGAGGTCGGGGCCAGAGGGCTGTGGCACACCCAGCTTTGCGGCCCTCCACTATCTGCTGATGGAAGGGGGCTGCCTCACTCAGCCTTATAAGGGAGACAGCTTGTAATGTGTGCCTTCTCCCACAGGAATAAATGTGTGGCGGACTGTCTCATTCGGGATGGCGGTGGTACTTAATCTTCATGGGATTGGCAAAAGAGAAGAATTTTTCAGAGCCTGTTTTTTGGATCCTCTACTCTCTTTAGCCAGAGAAATATCAGGCAAACGGTTTGAATGCACATGTGGGGGGGGGCTTGAGTGTAAGGACAGACCAATGGGTGAAGTTTGACTGCCAGCCCTTTGGAGATTGCCAGCTTCTCAGAAAAACAGTTAACAAGGTATCATTGCCGGACATTATTTTGTAGTAAGAAATAAGAAGACAAATCCTCCAATATAGCTCAGAAAAGGAGCTGATGGACAGGGAAAATATGCAGCAGCAGAAGTGGTTTTCCATCTTCCAACAAGGAAAAGAAGAGCATATGGAGGCATTTATAGTGGAGAAAAGAGTACTGAATCCTTGATAATTAGGCCAGGAGCCAGATTTTTCCCCAAGATGCCCATTCATAAGAGGAATTAAAAGCCTCTGAGAAATGTTCCCTTTGTTTTCCATCATGCCTGCATCTAACTGAATTCAGCACAAGTTTAATTCTTTCCAAGACCTACATAAACCACAAGAAATTGAAATAAATTGCCTTGCAAGAATTGAGTTGATGGAGGGAAGAGTTTTTCTATAAGTGTTTGTAAACCAGGACACGGATGTCTCAGCTAAGACAGTATGTTGTTGGCTTAAGCAGTGTATGGATCACACATGAAAAGCTTCTGACTTTAATATATTTCCTATTTCTTCCTTTTTTCTGTTTGTCTTTTGATACTTTTGCTAAAGGAGAAAGGTGGTACCAAATGGCAGAAGCAGTTTTCCATCCTCCAAGAAGGAAAAGAAGAGTGTATGAATCATATGATTCCCCATTCCCTATCTTCTTCTCCGAGGACAGCATTGATAGAAACAATTGCAAAATATGCCAGGCTGAAATTATAAATAACAACGTAATTGTGAAGAACCCTGAAGATATAGAACAGCTATACAGCAAGGTATTCTGGCCTGCTTTTTTCATGAAACACTCACATTTGGAAGATATACATCTTGGGGCAGAGTGTGTAAGGAACTGAATGTGGCATAATTAAGGTAAAAAGTAAAGGTTCCCCTTGACAATGGTTGTTGTGGGTTTTTCGGGCTCTTTGGCCATGTTCCGGCCAAAGAGCCCGAAAAACCCACAACAGCCATTAGATCCCGGCCGTGAAAGCCTTTGCAAATACGTTCCCCTTGACAATTTGGCCAGTCGTGTCCGACTAGGGGGTGGTGCTTATCCCTGTTTCCAAACTGTAGAGCCAGCATTTGTCCAAAGACAGTTTCCATGGTCACATGGCCAGCGCGACTAGACACAGAACGCTGTTACCTTCCCACTGTGGTGGTAACTATTTATCTACTCGTATTTGCATGCTTTTGAACTGCTAGGTTGTCAGGAGCTGAGACAAGCGACAGGAGCTCACTCAGTCACATGGATTCGATCTTACAACTGCGGGTCTTCTGACCGTGCAGCACAGAGGCTTCTGCAGTTTAACCCGCAGTGAATAAAATGTTTCAGGCAGGGACCGAGAGAACAGGTTAAGCTGAAAGCCTCCTTCAGTAGATAACCCCTTATTTGTTAGTTAATCTCAACTGGGACGTACTGTCTCAATACATTCACTCAGACTCTAGTAATCAGAAAAAAATAAACTGATTCTATTTACTTACAGTTCTTTGCTGATAAAAACAACACCTTGTGTAAAATGTTTCCTTGTTCTATCACTAAGCTTAACTGGTTAACTAGCTTCATTATAGACTAACTGACTGGTTACATAGCTGACAGAACACATCACTCTCCAATTCTGACAGACTCCATTGATAACACTGACAGAACCCTGACAGGGAAAAGATGTGAAAAAGAATCTGAGGCGGAGACAAAAGTATTGGCTGTTACTGAGCTGACTGACATACAGCCCAGTCCAGAGATGTCCTCCCGGCTAAAAACAAAACCAAAACTTCTTAAAGGCATCATATGTAGGTTGCAATATGTCCAACACTACTTTGGATACAGACACAATGCTTTCTGTTTTTTCAATTTGTTACTCAAAACCTTGCCAGATCAAATTGGAGGTGGGCTGCAAAATGACTTCATAGTCAACAAATAGACAATTGTGAATGATCCATTGGTGGATTGTATTTATGCATCCTATATTGGATTTGATGTGTCATAAAGGCTTGCCAGGATGAGATTCAAGTACATTTAAATTGGAATTAAGTCCTGTAGCAGAGAAAACCCCCTCACTTCAGGGTACTTCTATTCTATGATGATGCTCCAGTGATACCTAATCTCTTCCTCCTTCCTTAATTAACTGCTATATCTCTGACTTTGTTAAGGGAGAAGGAAGAGAGTAAGTATCACTGAAGCACCACGGTAGAATATGACTACTGTATGTCTGATTTAGCTGGCTGGATATTAGTGACTTAGGAATCTGGGTAAAGAGCCAGAGGTTGGGAGTTTGATTCCACGCTGTGTCTCTTGGGACAAGTGCCAGCATATGTGGCTTTGGGCAAGCTGGGCATTCCTAGGATGTCCCAGAAGAAGGGAATGGTAAACCTGAGTACTTTCTATCTAGAAAACTCTGAAAAGGGTCACCATAAGTTGATTTGATGGCACATGATTATTGTTGTTATTATACATCTGGTTTAGCTGGCTGGATAACTCACTGGGTTGGAGCACTTGGGTGTAGTGCCAAGGTGGGAGTTTGATTCCCTACTGCACCTCCCAGCAGAGAAGGCAGCCTGTTTAAGTCTTGAGCAAACGGCACAGAGTTAGAGATCCCACAGAGGAAGGGAATGGTAAAGTAGATCTGGATATTTTATACCTAAAAAAACACTGATGTCACCATAAAACAGAATTTGTTGAAGCCGTGCTGTTATTATTATTTATAGATCTGGTTTAGATCCTTAAATCTTCTTGCCAGGTTGGGAGAAAGGAAGGAAGATCATTTGAATTGCAACAGTGATAACTCACTGCCTTAAGGACTTGGGTTCATTATGATGTTTTATAGCTTTTACCCTTGCTGAGGATTTCTTTATTGACAGGTATAATGCAAGATGTAAGATCAGTAAGGTGAACAATAGTGAATACTGAAGACACTTGTAAGTTGCATTGTAGGGCTCTAAATATGTATGCTGTTTGTTGAAATGACGTCTGCCTACTGTACTTCTGTTCTCTTATTTTTCTAGGGTTTTTTTGGGAAAGGTGTTCTTTCAAGAAGTCGCCCAGAATACAGTATTTCAGACCCAGCGTTGGTTGCGAAGTGGCAGGGTAAATGAGTTGACTATGGAATGAAAGGCATGTGAACACGCTGAACTCATTTGAGGAGTCCAAATATGGCAAATAAGTCTCTACTGCTTCTTAAATATTTTGTGGTTTTGGGAAAACTGTGTTTAGGGGGCCAATATTGCCACAATATCATTGACCTTCTCTTGCCCAGCATGGCACCTGGTTACACAGGAGGGCATACATTCCTCAGATTTATCTGTAAGGCTGTGGTAGTCAGACAACACAATGTGTTAGCTTACCCCAGATTTCAGAGACAGGTGCCTGCCTGCCCCACTCATGAATTGCCCTCAGCTACAGCTGCCCAAGAATGAATGCATTATTTGAAAATGCAGTGTTTGCTGTTGATTTTCAGATGCTGTGAATATTTATAATGGTCATTTTGTATGTGTTTCTTTTAAATTGCAGATATCAGATCAAACCTGCCTATAATCTCATTTAAAAAGTAAGTACAGCATAATTAATAACATAAGCCTTAATGTTTTTGAAAATAAGAAATCTGAGTCAGTATTTCACAAAGTCCGTATTTGCCGGCATATAAGGCGACTGGGCGTATAAGACGACCCCCCAACATTTCCACTCAAAATATAGAGTTTATTATAGACTTGCCATATAAGACTACCCCCTCTTCCGCATGCGTGATTCTGCTTTGGCTGCATCATGGGGAGAGTTCGTTTTGCCACTTTTGGTTCCTTTTGCTGGGAGAGAGCGAGGGTTTGCTGGAAGAAGGACAGCATCCGCGCCGAACAGCTGACTGTCGGGAACCAGCAGAGAGGCGGCAGCCATTTTGGAGAGGCAGCAGCCATGTGGTCGCATCTCAAAATGGCTGCCACCTCTCTGCTGATTCCCAACAGTCAGCTGTTCAGCACTACAGTCAGGCTGTTCCCAGGCTACCAAGGAGGAGCTCGGTCTACTTGGTCTTACTACCAGGTAAGTGACTTCCCTAGGAGAGAGGGAGGGTTTGCTGGAAGTGCACCCGGCGTATAAGAGGCATGTTTTTCAGGGCCAAAAAGTTGTCTTGCACGCCGACAAATACATATCTTGCTCCATTACAACAAAAACAGACCGTTAGTATCTTCTTGTAACTGGATTAATCAGAGTGCTCTTCTTCCAGTTATCAGATGTCTTTTGTTTCCACCTGATGTTTGTGTCATAATTACCTTTTGAGCTTTTAGGTTATGGAGATAATTAAAGTTGAATACACTTGCATTTTTCTGTTCTGATAATTAAGTAACATTGATCCCCAACCTGATTTGACCTTTAAATATTAGTTTCACAGTCATCTTTTGCAACAGAGATGCGATTCAGATTTGACAAAAAAGCACTGCAGCCTTATATGTCCTGCTCTGTCCTTCTCTGCATACCTAAAAAGTTCAGCATTTAACTGGAAACCATCCTCGATTTGTGGTTACTTTAAACTGCAGGGTGGGCATAAAGCAGATCTCCCAAGGTCTTGGACTTCAGCTCCTAGAATCCCTTGTTATTTGCTGTACTGACGGAGTGACAGGAGTCAGAGTCCAAGAAATTCTGAAGGTCTAAATTTCCACCTTTATTTTACATTATTATTACTCTTCTCATTAACTAGTAGTAACATACAGTTCTCTGAATATGGATGTTAACAAGGGACTATGGTTAGTTCAAAACCAAACGTGGAAATCTTTAATCTTTGATGTGGAAGGGAAAAGGGGGCAGGAAGGACAAGAAAACCAAGGCTCCCTGCAACTTATATATGCAGCAGAAACCTGTTGCAGCTTCCTATTGCTTCTGAGCCATTGCTGAGAGAGATAATCAATTGCCAGCCTAAAAATCTGGCAATATGATCTTGGTCCCCATTTATATGCAGGCCTGAAACTCACAGTATTTAGAGAATTCTCTGATTGACTGACTGACTGATTGATTGATTGAGCTTCTAGATCCCCTGACCTAGTGAAATACTATTCAGGATGGTTTACATAATTAAAATTGCCTTCAATAATATATTTTTATAGGTTGGGATTTAGTATCCACAACACCCTGTGCCTCATTTCTTTTCCTTTCTTGGTTGTCACCATATGGCTAATTATTTTGTCTGTCTTTATTATGACTTCTTTTTGTCTGTGTTATGTTAAGTTGTATTGTTGCGGCCAGGGGGGAGGGGTATTGGGGTCTGCTAGTTTTATTATGTACATTACTCGGAGTAGTGTTCTTTATTAATTGGGTGGGATAGGAATATAATAAATACAGAAATAAACTGGTGTAGAAAGCAGTAATGTTTTCTGGCAGTTTATCGACATGGCTGCCTAGTGATAGTTCTTCATGATTGCTTCAAGCATTTGGCAAGCCACCATAGTTTAATGCACTGCCAAAAAACTGTGGTTTAGTCCAAAGATATACCAGGTCATAGATTATTGTATCTGCATCATTGGAAACAGCTGGGCCACTCTGTGTAAAATCAGGAGCCAGCATTTTGAGCCAATTTACATTGGGACTCATGAAAAGCATTGTTTATTTTCAATATCTGAACGTTGTTATTAGTTGTTAAATGCCAGTAATAGCCTTTTCCAGAACCTGGAAAAATTTACTTGGATTATGACTCCCACTGGATCATGCTGGCTGCAGATTCTAGGAGTTGTCTAAAAAAGTAACTTTTTTGCAAACAAATTGTTTGTACCAAAGGAAAAGAGCAGAACGTGAAAAAGTTACTTTTTTGGGCAACTCCTAGAATCTTCAGCCAGCATGACCCAGTGGGAGTCATAATCCCAAAGTGAATTTTTCCAGGATTTGTCCTAGAGGAAAATACCATATTTTTGCTCCATAAGACGCACTTCTCCCCCCCCCCAAAAAATGTGGGGT